AGTTATTTCCTAAGCCCTGCGGGGACTCTGCTCCACTTATTGTCTTATTCTACACCAGGTATGGTTCCTGTTATACGAGAGGCACTCTGTGGATACGTGCGGATTAGAAGGATGAATAGGCAAATGAAAGAGTTGTTACAAGCTCCTGGGTGAAGGGTTCCTCGTCCTACGAGCTGCTCCATCCTGGGTGGTCACCGCTTTACTGAATCACCTCCTGGGCTTCCACTGCCTTGAGGGTGAATGGCTATGATGGTCAAATCCCGGCCAGTCACTTCTTCAACGCACGGCGTGGGTCCAGCTGCTTGACTGTTCATTCATTCTCCTGCTCGGTTTCGTCAATTGTCAAGCCAACATCATAAATTTCATCGGCTGATTAAAAGAATCAAATTAGCTGCCTTAAAGTACCAGGAACTAATGCCCATGGGCCATCGGTACATAATCGCTTACAAAAGCTAGATATGTGTTCTGTCATAAACAAGAAGCATCCACATGACCTTGCTCTCTTGGTCGGTCTTGTCTCATATACCCCAAATGAAACGTGGAGAGACTCGACCCACTTGCGTTCTTCTGTCAGCGAACCCCTTTTAGTTCAAGTTTATTTTCCATTCCCAAAGTACTTCGAAGGATGCTAAAATGGTTGGTAGCAGACTCAAGACCTGTTTTACAGATAAAGAGCTTGATGTATAAACAATTAAATTCCTGGGTCTGGGAAGACAGAATAGTGGGGAAATGTCTGCCAGTGAAAGCGGGAGGCTATGAGTTCTGATACCCAGCACCCACCTAAAAGGCCAGGAGTGGCGACAAGGGTCTAGAAGTCTAGTGGTGGGAGAGGGGGCAGCAACAGAGACGGGTGGAACCTCAGAGCCCCCTAGCCACCCAGTCTAGCCATTTGGTGTGCTCCGGCCTCAAGGAGAGACCTTGTCTCAAAAGGTAAGGTTCAGAAGTCATAGAGGAAAACACCTGATGTTGACCCCTGGCCTTCACACTCGTGTACACACTTGTGCGTCTGTGCGCACATGTTTACACACTCAAGCATATATACCTGCCATACACACATTTTCACAGATACCTATATAAGAATTAAATCATCTGTGTAAGATCATAATGACAGTAATGTGTGGGCTCAGGCTCAAAGGCAGAACTTTTTCATTGCATTTTTACAGCTTCTAGCAAGTGACTGGACGCAGCCGAGCCAGCACACCTCGTGACTGCAAACATCGTGTATGAAGCCACCTGGGAAACATAGATCCCTCGCAGGCAACCCCTTCTGGACCTCTAAACTTGGAGTGTTTAAACAGTAACTGGCTCACAGGGCTCTATGACTAAGGAAGGGAGCCTTTGGTAAGCTGGGGTCGAGTCTTCTTTCAGCTGTTCTCCTGGAAGCGGAGTGTAAGGTGCCGAGTCCTCCGTGGGCCACTCGCACCAACGATTGCTGCGGGTGAGACGAATCGTGAAATTGAGAGGTGGCTTCTGTGTTCACATCTCAATCCTGTTTTACTCATCCTGCAAAGACAGAGCCTTGAGACAGCTAGAGGAGAGCTCTCTGGCACCACAGCACAATGTAGCTCAGCTGACGACATCCAACAAGAAAGAACAGATTAGCAATGATTGCTACCTGCGACATGCCAGCATTGTGCAGAGCCTGTTTATATGTTATTTAATTCCACTGAATCCTTCAGACAATCCCCTCATCCCCTGGATAGGGTACGCTTTTCTGACATCCATTCCAGTTTTTATTAAAAAACGCCCACATCTTCCTACACACACACACACACACACACACACACACACACACACACACACACGATCTGTAAGAGCTACTCTGATTTTGTGCTGGGGTAGGATACACGCCTTGGGTTAAAACTGCTCAATGTAAGCCCATTTTCTGGTCACAATTAAAAGAACTAAAGGAGAACGGGTCCAATCAGTGTCCTGGGGGTAACGGAACCAACTCTCCCTCACTCTCCTCGAAGGTGCGGCAAGCTGCACCAGCAAGCCAGGAAATGCCCAGCCATTTTTTCACCTTTAGGGTTGAAGCGGCTTTAGGTTAAAGCTAACTTCATGAAGGGCAAAGCAAAGGGTTAAGGAGAAACGGATTCTTTGAAGATGTCACTAAACATGGAATCGAGTGACCCTGAAGTTTTTCTCTTGATCCTTGAATTTTCTCTTACATGGGAGCTGAAAGTAATATTGCTTCTCCATGCCCTGGCTGTGAGTTTGGCATATAGCATGCCCATTTTCTGTGACTGTAACAGCACACCTGAGGCTAGGTGTCTTAAAAAGAACAAAGGTTCATTTAGCTCACTGCTTGGGAAGTTCAACAGCATGTGTAGTTCTAGTACTGGCTCAGCTCTGGTGAATCCTTTTCACAGTGTCATAAGCATGAGGCAGAGGTCACATGGAGAAATGGGAAGCTAAAAAGACACTGGGATCCTATGAGAACTATTAATCCCTTCCAAGGACACATGCCTCTATGACCTAATAACCTCCCAAAAGTCTCCACCTCTTAAAGGTCCCACTACCTCGCACATCACCACACGGAAGACCATGCTCCCAGCACAAAGACCCTGAGGGAGCAAATCACATCTCAATCACAGTGAGGTTTTATTACCCAAGCTCTCTAGGCTCTGGTAAGGCTAGGCAGCCACAACAGTGACATCCAGCCATAAGTACACAAGGTCAGACTTCATTCCTCTTTTGTGGAACTGAGGGTGGGTGTTCAGGAGTGGGTGGGTGTTCATCAGTGGGTGGGTGTTCAGGAGTGGGTGGGTGTTCAGGAGTGGGTGGGTGATCAGGCATGTCATGCTGCTCTTTGCGTGCATTTAGACCCCTGCTCCTTCCCATTGATTGCTGTGCTAACCCAGTGGTCCAGCCCTCGTCTCCATGGTCGGGTGTGTGCTGTTTTCAGTCCTAAGTCATAGTCAAAGGAAGGACCATGGAAGAGTCTCGTGTCTCAGAGCCAAATGTTACTGACACACAAGACTTCTGCTCACATCTGGCAACACACGGCAGCAAGAATGACTAGGAAATGTCAGTGGCCATGTGCCTAACTCCATATGTAGTGCCACAAGAGGAAAGTGAGCCACAGCTACTGTCATGGAGCCCGTCTTATAGAGAGGCTACACTAGGAAAACTTGCCTAAATCACATGCCCAGTAAGTTGTAGAGCAAAGGTGTGAAGCCAACTCATTAGTTCTTCTCATTGCTCCATGTATGTGCCCCCCTTCCTCACAATTCCAGTCCTAAAATGATGTTGGACACCATTGTCAACATGCGTGTCACAGGTTGCTAAAGCCTGCTCAGACCCTCCTGTCTTTGGGGTTTTATTGCTGTGAAGATATACCATGACCACGGCAACTCTTATAAAGAAAACGTTTAATTGAGGGTGGCTCGCTTGCAGTTTCACAGGTTCAATCCATGATGATCATGAAGGGGAGCATGGCGGCATGCAGGCAGATGTAACTCTGGAGCTGAGAGTCCAACATCTTGACTCAGAGGCAACAGGAAGCCAACTGGGCGGTATCTTGAGCATAAGGAAAATCAAAGCCCACCCCCACAGTGACACACTTCCTCTAACAAGGCCACACCCACTCCAACAAAGCCACACCTCCTGATAGTGCCACTCCCTATGAGAGACAGGGGGCAAATACATTCAGATTCCCACACCTGCAAATAGATAATGAGCTGCCCACCCAACTTTCAACCACGACCCTTTTCTGCTCCTAGGGATGACTGCTGAATCAGGGATTGAACACCTCCAACCTGACCAACCAGGGTGGTCACAGGAAGATGGAAGGGTTGCTACCGCACACCTACAGAATGGTCAAGAGGGAGAACAAGGTTAGAAATAGAAACAGTGCAGCCTAAAGAAAGAGGAGATACAGTCACTAAAGTCAACAATAAAACAGGCAGAAAAGGGAAAGTGAGGCATTGTACAGATAGAATGAATTTGGATCTTTTGAAAAAACTGTTGACTGATTTGAATTGGCAGTGCACCCCTGGGTCGGGGGCATAGACTCCGCTTTCCTATCCTAAGTCCCAGACACAAAATTCCTCTCCACCAAGGTGTCAAATAGTATCAATCTCTTGGCCATCTTCCTTGACCATTACACGTATAGAAATAAATCCATTCTTTCCTTTTGCTATCTCTTTTTCTGCACCCTGTTTTTTGTTGTTGTTGTTGTTGTTTTTGTCATCCCATGTCTGTCTGTCGTGTGTGTATGTGTCTCCCCCAACCCCAGCTGAGGACCAAACCCAGGGCCTTATGCTTGCTAGGCAAGCGCTCTACCACTGAGCTAAATCCCAAACCCCTGGTTTGTTTGTTTTTTTTTTTTAACTTAATAAAATATCTTAGTGATCTTTAGATATGTATACATAAAGAGTGCTGTCATTTTTATGGCTACATCATACTTCATTGTATAGGTGCCATAATTTAGTTAATTAATCCCTGTTGACAAATATTTACATCGGTTCTAGTCTTCTGCTCTTACTGTAACACCATGAGCATTTCAATCTTACATAAATAAATCAATAGAATAAATCCTTACCATTGGCTTTCATAAGGTAAAGCGCTGAAGATGATTTGCAATTTTGAAGGACATTTCCAAATAAACCTTCATAAAGTTATACAAACGCATTGTCCCACTGGTAATGTGTGAGAGGATCCTTCTCACATTTGTGCACTCTTGACTTCCTTATCACCCAACAAAGATGGTTCTCAACATGTGGGTCACATCCCCTTTGGGAGCCAACTGACCCTTTTACAGAGATCGCATATCAGATATTTACATTATGATTTATCACAGCAGCAAAATTAATTATGAAGTAACAATGAAAATAATTTTATGATTGGGGGTCACCACAATATGAGGAGCTATATTAAAGGGCTGTAGCATTAGGAAGGTTGAGAACCGCTGATTGCCCTACAGCCTTAAAAATGGCTCTCTGTAGCAACTCAATTCTTATCTACAGTATTATAAAGCTAGCTATCTTTTAATATGCTTAACAAATACATCCTCTTTCTGTGAATTTTATTTTACACATTTTTCTTTGGGCTGGTGGTCTTTTTCTTATTGATTTATGAGAACATTCTATACATAAAGGAGATGAGACCTTGTTCATTAAATGAACTGTGAATATTTTCTTACGACTTTGTAATGGTACTTAAAAAAAACAACATACTTTATTATTTGTGTGTGTTTGTGTTTGCGTGTTCGTGAACTGCACATATGTGTGCGTGTCCACAGAGGCCAAAAGAGGGTGTCAGGTCCCCTGCAACGGAAGTATCAGGTGGTTGTGAGCCCACTGATGTGGATGCTGAGAACCAAAACAGGATCCTCTACCAGAGCAGGAAACACCCTGAGCAACTGCATCATCTCTCCAGCCCGTGTTTCTGTTTGCATTGCAGAAAAGCATTCCCCCTCTTCACTTTCTGGAACATCACACCGAATCAGGGTGCTAGCGAAACCAGCCAAGCTTTATTAGACAGGGAGGGATGAAGCGCGACCTCGGAGGACTTCACTTTGAGCTTTCTTCTCCTCTTTGACATCAGCACTCACTCCTCTCTGGTGCTGGTACCGCCACAGACCTCAGCCCCCTGCACGAATTAAACTCATTCTTCCTGACTTCAGCAGTCACAGAGTCCGAAGGAAGACAGGCTTCCTGCTGGTTGGCTTCCTGGCTGAATCAGAGAAATGAATGTTCTGAGGCCCCCCAGAGAGTGCGGCTGCCACATCAGTTTTTCTTCTCTCTGAAGCTGCCTCCTCCAGACAATCCAATTCTAAGAGTCCAACGAGTCAGCCTCCAGATGACCTGGTCAACACACGAGGAAAGAAAATAAAGACAGGGCACAATGAGTAATAGAAGGCACACTGCAAGTGAAGGATCGTCCACATGAGACCCAGACTGATTCTGCCTCAGACAAGCAAGAAACCTTTCCGGAACGAGGGAGGAGGGAGCCCATTTCAGAGGCTCGAGCATCAGGGCATTTATGGACACTGGAGACTGACGCAATACAGATGCGGTGGGGGGCGGGGGGAGCAGCGCTTCTGTTAAAGGCTTAGATAGAAAACTAAGTAATTCTATAAACACTACCAAGAAATGGGCTAAGGCTGCTTCCGCAAAGAATGTCTCCTTCATTTCTCAGCCAGATCTGTGGTTCCTGAAAACTTTCAACAGTCTCCGTCTGAGTCAATTCTACCTCTGCCTTATAGGATCCTGGGAGCCGTGTCCTTGTTCCCTACCTAATCTGGACCTCTGGAGATGCATTCTTGCCTCTCTCCGTACTTCCTCTTTCTCCCATGAGCCCCTCGCTCTGGAACTTCTGTGCTGGGCCTCGTAGCCCAAGCCGAGGAGCAGTCTTCCCCCACGCCTTGGCTTCTGCCTGGCTTCCTGACCCACGCACGGTCAGGCCAGCGCCCGTTCCTGCTGGAGCACCGCCCTGAACTTCAGCCTCCTTGGCAAGGGCAGCAGCAGTCCAGCTGGCCCCCAGCCACCATCCTGTTCCTCTCGGGGACGGGACAGAGTCCTCTTCCGACCCGGATGGTACTTCGGGCTCCCATGCTGCCACTCCTCTCTTCCTGACCAACAATGGAATATTTCCATTTCCCAGTGTCCCGTTTGGTCCTTGTGTAGAGATTTCCCTTCCTCCCCTATGTGGGAACTCACGGATTCCGAATAAGCAAAACCAAGTCCAGATTTCCCCTCACACAAACTCCACCCACTTTCAACAGAAAGTGTATTTATTTATTTATTTATTTATTTATTTATTTATTTATTTATTTATTTATTTATTTATTTATGTATTTAAAATAAGGAAGCCAGAGGTACAAAGACTCCAGGTTTGGTTAATTCTGCAGCTTGCAGGTGTGATGAAGAACCCTCGGCTTTCCCTTTCTAGCTCTGCTCTTCCGGGTTGCCTACTCTTCAGAGAGGGAGCACAAGAGTCCTAATAGAGCCGCCGTGGGCTGGGATGTCTCCACGGGATCCTAAGAGCAATTGCCTAACTCCGGAGTCTGGCCAGTCAGGTGTTCTTGGCCATAGTGAGAGAGGAGACACCACAGGAATGGAAACAGGCAAACGCAGTCGGGGCTTTGGGGCTTGGGGTTCGGAGAAGCGGGTCTCCGGCAGGCCACTGTTGACTGGCATCTCGGCACGATAACATCCAGAGACGGAAAGAGATTTTCTCAAACATCTTTTATTTTATGTGCACTGGTGTTTTGCCTGCATGTGTGTCTGTGTGAGGGTGTCGAATCCCCTGGAACTGGAGTTGCAGAACTGTTGGGAGCCACAGTGTGGGTGCTGGGAACTGAACCCAGGGTCTCTCGAAGAGCAACCAGTGCTCTTAACCACTGAGCCATCCCTCTAGCCCAAGAAGAGATTTTTCTCAAAGCCTCACAGACTGCCACATACTCCTGCCGCCTTGGCCTGATTGTGTCTCGTGGTAATGCTTCAGCTGCAGGCTGTCAAATGGCTAGAATGGCAGGGTCCCTGAAGTATACGAGCATGTGATGCCTGACTGTCATGTACCCTTAGCTAGAGACCGGTAGGAGATAGCCTTTCTGCGTAGAGCCTTCTGGATGTCCTGGCGGGCTCCTAAACTGAGTGGGTTATGACAGCTGAGCTCTCTGTAAGGCACCCTCACCTGAGGAACAAAAACATCAGAAACGGTACAAGGAGTCACAGGTACAGAGAGAAAAAGGGGAAAATGAAGTAACAGAGTACTCATGTTTGAAAATTCTCCACAAAAAAAAAAAAAAAAAAAACACAAATTAAAAACATTCAGAAAAGCAATTTGTATGAAATATGTACAGACTTTTTCCTTGCCTTTCTTCAAATGATAAAATATTGAAAAGGATTAAATGTTATCCAGGAAGAAAATTATTTTAATTTTTATGTGTTCGTGTACTGTTTAAATTAAGCTAAATACAAGTCCGGGGCTCATGAAGCGGTTGACTCAGAATTAATTTTTCTCCATCCAGGCTTAACCTGATCTTCTCTCCAGCAAGGATTCTGTCTGTGAGCGCAAATGTATCTCAGGCTTTTTCTTGGGGGCACTGCTCTGTGAGGGGAGCCCAGGTCACGCAGTTAGCAGGGTACCGAGAAGTGTTGGAGCCCAGGCCATCTGTCCACACTGGCTTGCTCACAGGAAGGAACCTCAAGACGGCTCTGATCACTTCAAGATGGCATCTAAATCGCCCTTCTCTGTACCCTGGCTTCACAGACCTTTCTCTTCCATCAATGAGAATAAACCTTTTGCCCACATATGCCTATGTTCAGCACGAAGAGCTAAGCAAGCTTAAATATCCAAAAAAAAAATTTATGCAAGATTTTATAGCCATAAAAGATACTTCAGAGTCCAGGCTTGGCTGCTGTTGCCCTGAGCAACCGCTGTCCAGAGATGCACACGGGAGGAGCAGATAAACAGGGCCTGAGGGAAAACAACAGTCATTCGGGGAACAGAGACGTCATCCTCGGGTATGTCTGAAGTTTCTTTTCTTTATTAATGCTTTCTACCATTTAATTTTAGGATGACCACACAAAAGCTGAAAGGCTAACACAATAAATGACATATCCCTGTCAGTTACATTAAACACCTGCTAAGCCCACCACATTAGCCTTCTAAATATTTTACTACCTGTTTTTATTCTAGTCTATGTGGACGGGTGTTCGACCTACATGCACGTCTGGGCAACCCAGGGTTTGGGGCTCAAAGAAGATGTTGGGTCCCCTGGAAGTGGAGTTACAGTTTTGAGCTGCCGTGTGGACACTGCAAATAGAATTCCAGTCCTCTGGAAGAGCGGCCCCTGCTCTCAACCGCTGAGCCATCTCTCCAGCCCCTTTGCTAGACACTTCAAAGGGAGGTGGAGTCACACTTGGATGCCTTTGATATGTACCTCTTTAAAAAGGACATTGGCGGGGCTGGAGAGATGGCTCAGCAGTTGAGCGTACTCACTGCTCTTCCAGGGGTTCCCGGGTTCAATTCCCAGAACCCACATGGCAGCTCACACCTGTCTGTAACTCCAGTTCCAGCGGACCTGACACCCTCATGCAGGCAAAACACCAATACACATAAGATAGAAATAAATTATATTTAAAAAAAAGGGTAGGGCGGTGGTGGCGCACGCCTTTGATCCCAGCACTCGGGAGGCAGAGGCAGGTGGATCTCTGTGAGTTCGAGGCCAGCCTGAGCTACAGAGCGAGCTCCAGGACAGGCTCCAAAGCTACACAGAGAAACACTGTCTCAAAAAAACAAAATAAATAAATAAATAAATTTAAAATAAATAAATAAATAAAAAGGACATTTGCCTAACATCACAATGTGTTTATCAGATCTTTAAAAATGTAACATAATCTAAAATCTAGTCAATATTAAACTTTCCTAGCATTTCTCCCACCACAGTAATATATATTGAGAGAGGGAGAGAGAGAGAGAGAGAGAGAGAGAGAGAGAGAGAGAGAGAGAGAGAGAGAGAGAGCGCACTGGGT